AGGTTGGAAGAGAGTTCCACAGGCGAGAAGTCTGAGAGAAGAATCTGTTAACATAGAAATTACGCTTACATCTTTGCCATTTCAACTATAAAATTATATGACTAAATGTAACTTAAGTTCTATGATAACAGTTTATTCTCTCCTTGACAAATCAGTTATGGGGAAAATTGAACCCAGAACTTATAATGATCGAGTAATCAAATGATTAGAACATTAGCATGCATCTATGTGTATTCAGTTGGGAGTTTGAAAAAAATGATTATGGAGAACTTTTATCCAAACTTAATATTTAACACAAAACAAGAAGCCAATTTCTTACAAAAATATTTATTTGAATATACAAGGTGAGTCAAAGTTATGTTAACATTATTATAAGAGGGATCATTTATTCAAAGTTTACTGAAGTCTCCACCTGTCCACCAGCACAATTGATGCATTAAAAAAAAACAGCGATCAAAAGTACAATTTATTGCCTTGACACACATTACATGGGGTATGTTTGATATTACACCATTTATTCTTTCCTTGAGTATATGTCTAACTTTTTTTGCTATACACGTAATCAGGGTGTAATCGGCACAATGGTGACTGCAAACGCTTACTTACAAATGCTGCAAGAGTTTGCCATTGATAACATACCCCTACAAATCAGACGAGCAGGGTATTTCCAACAGGATGGTTCACTGCTTCATTTTGCCCATACTGTTTGCACTTGTCTTGATCAAAATTTCCCAAATCATTGGATAGATTATGGCGGACCGTTGTCATGGCCACCTCACTCCCCTGATCTGACACCCTATGACTTCTGGTTATGGGGTAAGATAAAGGATCGTGTGTATAGCAAAAAAGTTAGAGACATTGATGTACAGAATAGAAGGTGTAATATCAAACATTCCCCATGAAATGTGTGTCAAGGCACTTAATTGTACTGTTGACCGCTGGTTTTTATGCATCAATCATACTGGTGGACAGTTGGAGACTGTTCAGTAAAAATTCTTATAAGATTTGCCGACAGCAAATATTATTATTCCTTGTTTTCATCACATCATTTTTTAGGCATTCCTTTGAGATCAGAATCAAGAAGCAATATTCAAAGAGACTTTCATTCCTGGTAGCCAAATCATTTTTTTTACTGTTATGTCAAGATACTTGTCACAGTATCCGTTTTTTAATACCACATCCCGTCATTATAGAGACAACTACTGCTCTCCGCCGAATACATTTCTTTATTATCTGCAAATTACCATGTATTCTTGGGAAAGATAGTGAAGTGTTTTTCCATTTCCTTCTTCACGCTTTGGAATTCAGCATTTTCTGTAATTGGGCAAATCTGTGGAAAGTCAGCAGTGGTCAAAACAACAATACACCAATGGTTGCCAACACAAGAGGCTTCAAAGCAGCTTGCCCAAACACTTCAACTTTAGTGATATATATATATATATATATATATATATATATATATATATATATATGATGGAATCTCCTGCTGTTTTTCGATGTATAAGCTTTAAGAAACTCGGTTCCTAGAAATCAATAGCCAGACACCTGCACATTTGATTTAATTATAATGGTGAAGGCTTCGTGCAGGACCATCCACACTTTTTGAAGGGCCGAGAACAGAGACCTGGTGCACTACGTGACACAAGGTCCCCAAACGCAGGTTTTGAATACAGAGTTGTCCTTCTCCTACACCAGTTGGTATCCATGGCTACAGAACCCAGTCTGTTATGCTATTTACCCCTAGCTGGGAGTGGGGTGAGAAGGAGAGGATTCATACCTTTCTCAAGGGTATTAGCATATAAATGAATGTAATGGATTCTAATGGAATTCGTACTCGGCTCTCCAATTCCTCAATCCAAGCCGCTATCCATTACTCCAGCATGCCTCCACCCCCCTCTCTCTCATATAATATACACTGCGTGCCAAATTATTATCGAGAAAACTTTTTTCTAATATTTCAAAAGACATCCAATCAATTCACACAAAATTTTCAGACAATGTTGGCAACACTGACCTACAATTTTCGTACTGATCTGCGCAATGTAAACAAACTGGCGCCATATTTGTTATCTTGATAATAATTTGGCACGCAGTATATATATATATATATATATATATATATATATATATATATATATATATATATATATTTTAATCAAGTTCACCCCCAAGCAAGGCAGTAAAACCACTAAGACACAAGGGGTTACTGGGTATGGAAAAATTAGGAACTAATCCATGGGAAGAGAAAAGATTACTTAGGAGCACAGTAGATAGTGATTGACATTGCATTTAAATTTTTGCAGTTTAAAGTTGGCTCAAAAGCATGGAGCCAGAAAGGAATTCCACTAGCAAGAAGTGTGAGAAAAGAAACATTTAGCATAGAACTTATGGTTACATATAGCCAGCTCAACTCTAAATTGCTGAGATTTCGATGTCAGTCTAATACTGCACTTAAATTCAAGAAGTCTAGATATCATAGTGAAGAGCGATATTTATTTCTGCTTATTTACAGAAAATGTGGCACAAGGCCAAAAATGGGGAATGGGGAAAAGGATGGTCGTCTTCTGTCTTAAATTTAAACTTAGCTAGCCACAATCACTGACCCAAACATACCACAATATTCCTTACACGAAAACAACACATTCTTACTTACCTTTCTTACTACATTCACCATAATACCTCATTGTCTCTATCATAGTGAAGAGCTCATCTAAACAATTACCATGAAAGTATTTATAGAAAAAACAGAGAGGCAACCTAACAGTGGTGGGAAAGTAACTGAAGCCGAGATGCCAGATCAGGACCAATAATATTGCTGATTCTTCTTTGAATTTTATGAAGGAGATCAAGGTAAATCGCAGGGGCACCAGAATATATGTGGCAGCAATATTCTAGTCATAGACAAATGGTAGACTTATAGATATGTAAGATAGATTCTGGAAAGAAAAATTATCTTGCATGATACAGTGAACCAAATTTCTTACCAGCTGACCTAGCAATGAATTCAATATAGTCATATAAAGAAATTTGGATTACTAACACAAAAACAGAAAATGTCTCATATCAAGAATATTTAACATTGAAAAACAAACAAAAATTAATTATTTTTAATAATATGTGGAAATTTCCGCTTTTACCTGAAGACGGTCGCGAGACCAAAAACACGTGTAGCCAAATTATGAAAAACAAAGCATAATATTTTTTTCTAAATAAATCCACATTACAACCAAAAATGTTTGCGGCACCTCTCTTCTCTTCTTTTTAATATACATACTTTTCTCTCGTTGGAACCACTACAACCTCTTTCTTTTATATATATGAAAATTTCTCTGATTTAACCAGTAGAGAAGACAATATTTATAAATAAAAATGACAATAGGAAAACTGGTAATTGCTGACGCATTTCATCCAATGTGGACCTTATCAAAGCAAAATACAAAATAAAAAAAAACTTTAAAAAAAAACATGTCAGCAATTACCAGTTTTCCTATTGTCATTTTTATTCATGTATATATATATATATATATATATATAGGCACCTGAGATGCCCAGCTTACGGTCAAATGCTGAAACACCGGTTCTCATCGATCACCGGTTAAGCAGCGTAGAGCCAGGTCAGTACTTAGATGGGGGACCGCTTGGGAACACCTGGTACTGTAAGCCCCAAAGTCCAACCCTTACCTCACAGTCGGTGGGGGGGGTAAACAGGTAGTGTCAGAACTATGCCGCCCGAACTGTTCCTGGTAGGGCCACCCAAGGACAGGTCTGACACACACGCCGGCTAACAAGGACTCTAGTGAAAATCCAAGGTTTTAATGCATCGGTAACCGGCGGCTTCTGGTCGTTTCCTGTCTCTTTCGTCTGTGGGAACCCCGCTAGCAAGCAAGAACGTTATCCAGTAGGCCTGGGTACCCTACTTCTTCTAATTTATCCCAAGAATCTTCTTCTCATACCAGGAAGAAGCCGGCTCAATCCGCCCAGGGTGAATGACGCATCAGTACAGTACAGTAGTACCTGAGATGCCCACTTTTGGTCAAATAACAAATTTTCATGCTCTGCCAATTTCTTTATTAACAAGCTTGAAACGCAGCTCTGATTTTTACTTTTGGCAGAGAATACCCATGACACACAGGTGTTTCATCCAAAGAGACAAGTGATTTTCATTGTTACATCTTCCTTCTTTTAGACTGGTTGCCAACCAAAACTAAAGAGTTTACCCTGCTATTTAATCCATAGCTGAAGGGAGACAAGACAGATTCATGACTTTCCCAAGGGCAGATGTGCAAAAGTGAATACAGGACAGAATTTGAACCAGGCTTGCTGATTTCCCTTTTCATGCCTATATTTGTTAGGCCACCTGCTCAACCACTACATGATCAGAGAAAAGTTTAAATATTTGATCCCTCATGTCCAAAAGAAACATCTACAAAATTCAAGAGCAGTTTTTGTAGTGTCAACAGAAGGTTTGATACTAAAAAATATTTGCAGTTCGAGTTATAATAATGGCCAGGCTTAAAATCTTTTTAGAAATTCAAATACAAAAATTCTTTTTAAAAATTAATTTTAAAAAAAAATTCAATTAAAATTTTTTAAAAATCAATTAGAAAAAATTCAAATTAAAAAATTGAAAAAATTATTTAAAAAAAAAATATTTAATATTAAAAAAATTAATTTAAAAAATTCAAAATTTAAAAAATCAAATCAAAAATTCACTATTAAAAAAATTTCATGCCAGCCTCAGTATCTTCTCCCTCTTAGAAGACAGATGATAAACAGTTATCTTGAAAGGAAAAGATCTTGAAGGAAGTTGTGGAGAGCCATGATCTGAAGAGACATGGCACATAATTTGCCATTATTTGCATATTCAGATTTAGACTTTCATTTTCCAAAATTGTAGAAATGAAAGTTCCATTTGAGAATATCTTGCAAGCTATTGATATTTATGGACATTTTAATTCATCAGTTTTGTTTCAGCAATCAAGAAGTCCAGAATGTTTGAATTACATTTTGTCCAATGGAGGAACACCAACCAGACGAAGTCCATTTGCTAATACCTGCTGAGTACAATGGAATAGCAGAAGACGAGCCTGAAATACAATCAGAATAATTATTATTATTATTATTAACAGTTAAGAGAAAAGCACAATTTAAGAAAAAAAAAAAAAAAAAAAAAAAAACTGTTTGTAGATTTTATACTTGAAAAAATATTTTAATAAAGGGTGTTCCAATAACTTGGACCGATTTTAAATGTGAATTAAGTTTAAGCGTCTAATGATTTTTTTCTTTTTCTTTCAGATTTAACAACTTAAGTCTTTGGCAATTTCAACCAGGGAAAGGTTAACAATCAAACAACGTGTTAAAGTTTCAAGGGTGCAAGTGCAAAAAATTGTTCGTAAATTTAAACAAACCTGGTCGGTGACAGATGTGAAAACAACATTGCATGCTCATTTACACCGTTCAGCTGAAAACATTGCTGCAGTGCACGAGAATGTGGCCCAAAATACAGACCCCTCTATTATCATCACATGCAGGAATTGAACCTCTCCACAACAAGGTTATATTGAATTTTGACAAAAGATTTGTCTATACGCTTACAAAATTCAATTAACACAAGAACCTGCTGACCATTTCGAGCACCATACATTCGTCAGTTGGGTGCACAAGCAAAGACAAGCCAATGAATATTTTTTGCAAAATATCTTCTTTAGTGATGAAGCCCATTTTCATCTTGGTGGATTCCTTATGAAGCAGAATTGTCACATTTGGGCTTATGAAAATCCAAGGAAGGTTGTTGAAAAGCCACTGCATCCACAAAAGGTCACTATTTGGTGTGCATTTTTTTGCTAGAAAAATCATTGGATCATATATTTATAAATTTGAACATCCATTTTCATAATAGACTTTGATAACTTTAACATGTTTGATTGTTAATCTTTCCATCTTTGAAATTGCCAAAGACTTAAGTTGTTAAATCTGAAAGAAAAAAAAATCATTAGACGCTTAAACTTAATTCACATTTAAAATTGGTCCAAGTTATTGGAACACTCTTTACAACTTGAAGATAGACATATGGCTGGAATATTGTTTAACATTGTCAAACATTGAGTTTTTTCTTTTCTTAAATCACACTCTTCTCTTAACTGTTAAAAAATATCGGAAGAGTTACATCAATCATTTTTATTATTATTATTATTATAGCAACATGATGGTGGTAAGCCTGGTTCCACATTTTATTGCATGAAAATACCTATTGATGATTTAGAGCAGGAAATAATTATTGTTAAGCTGTGAAAAAATTCAGGGGAAAACTAATTAAGTGTTGAGGAGAATAAAGAAAAAAAAGAATGGATTAAAAATAAAATTTAGAAGCCATAAAATGAGTTCTGGAGAAGGCTCTAGAAAGATTTGAACCTTAAATAAATCAAATGGAATTCATTAAAATTTCATAAGAATAGATCTCCCTTAATCTATCCAATTTGCCTCAGAGGCAATATGGCAAAGATTTATGGCCTGAAATTTTCAAAATTCCAGGGAAGAATTCTTGCAATGTTTATACAAAACAAATTATGACTAATCAGAAAGAACAAGTGAAGAACTTTTTATGAAGATAAAAGAAAAAAAGGCCTCCTGCTTTAATGAAGCACACTGCCTGCTAGAGGATGTGTTGCACTTTAGGGTGGGGAAGAATATACAGGGTGGTAAATGTGGGATCAACATTTTGCTGCATGAGAGTGCCTATTGATGATTTGAAGCAGGAAGTTTAAAAAAAACTCTGTAAAACTAATTAAGTGTTGAAAAAAGAGGAAAGAAAGAACATAGAAATAATTAGAATCCGTAAAATGAATTCAAAGAAATCTCTTAGAGGATTTGAACTTGAATCAAACCGAGCAGAATTCATAAAGATTTAGCAAGACTACATCTTCCCCAACTCATGTTGTGGCCTCTGGAGCAATATGGCAAAGATCTGTATCTTCTGAAATTTCATGAATTCCACGGAAAAATTCTTGAGTTTGTTTACATTAAATACTACCTCTTTGAAATGCTCACTTCATTACCAAAATTCAGGCTTCATATTGAGCTGACCATATTCCAAAAAAAATGGCCATGTCTTATTGAATTATGGTTTTAAGGAATATCTTGATGGGTTATTGAAAAATTACTGCATGAGAATGCCTCAAGGACCCATGGTACGTTGGATAAAGGTGTTGGTTAGATCCAGTGACAGGACCCAAACAGTGTGAGTTCAATACCCGGTTAAGGCAGTGCAGAACTTTCAGATGGGAATTAACAGGAGATAACTGATAACTGACATCCATTAAAAACATGACATGTGGAACTAGAACAGTCTACCCCAGTGAGCAAAATAATGGGTTCAGTTTGACATTCCAACCACCTGAAGAAGGCTGGAGCATACAATGGCTGAAATGTTGTAATAAATATGGCAACAAAGATGAGGAAAATAGTCTGAATAATGTAAATAGTGTACATAATACCTCATCTCAGAAATATAGACAGATCCTAAAAATTTTATTTCCATTTTTATTTATACACTTTATTTTCATTTCCTTACTTATGAACAGATTGTGGTTGCTTTGGAACTCTCACATCTTGATTGTACTGGCAACACAGCTGATCATGATAAAACCTTTGTCACTCCAGACTCAAATAAAATCATTTACAATCCACTTGATTATGTGGGTGCCTTAACCAATCAAGCAGGGTCACATTCTGCTGCACAAGCTGTTCCACATATTCACACTTGGAACATCATTTCTCAAGTTTCTTTAAGCATTTCTTTCTTTAATTCTAATGTTTGGCCATTTAAATACTGTTTTTAGGAAGAAGGTCAGGCTTTTTTTCAGCATTCTCTCGTACTGTAATATTAAATGTAAAACAACCAGGTGGCCATTTTGATAATCATTGTTTACAAATTATTTTATGGTAACCATTTACACCTTACCATCAATCATTTTGGCATGAGAATTTTGTGTTGCAGACAAACAACCTCCAAAGAAATTTTCATCTAATATAAAGCAGCAGAAATAAACACAGAAACGGTTTATACCTGAGCAAGTTCTTCAGGTTGACCTTTCACCAACAGCTCATGGTGAGCTTGGTTGCTTAGATGCCTGAAAAAAGCAAAAAAATGAATCAGTTTTACATCAACACAATTATTTATTACATAGATAAAAGATTTATATAATAATAGCAGTCATACCTAGCTGGTTGATCAGAAAAAGCATTCAATTAGAATGGAGCAAAAACAGAATCATGTTTAGATGTAACAGAGTCTATCTTCTTCAATTACTTTAAAGTACTTTCATTAAAAAACATTTTGAATTAATGCAGTTACTGATATAACAGAAGTAGTCTGTATTTAATCAAATGAAGTTAGCTGAGGACATGAACGGGTAAAACAGGCAACATGAAGACCCACTTCAGACCACAATTATTTTGGAGTTTTGAAATTCAATTTGTCAGTGTGCTAGCAGGGATGTAAAAGAGGATACATTTATAAAGCAATTGTCAAGTTTGATTAAAATTGGTTGAAAGATCAATGAAAAATAAGAAACCAGTAAAAGATGCCATTTTTCACTATTTACACAGGTTTTCACTATATGGGTAGACTCAGTTATAAAGTTAAATGATTGTTAAACAATCAACTTCTTGTTGGCTACAATTGAGTGAAGTTTGTATTAGATTGCTTGAAAATTGAGGGAGTTTTTAGTTTAAAATTTGTGTTGAAATTGATTTGTGTTGAAACCGATTTTTTGTTTTTTGCTAAATGCAGTGGCATAGAAATAAAAATAAGGTATTGTTGAGCTCATCATGATGTAAGTAACCTACATACTGAGTTTGAATGAAATCGGGAGAAAAAAGTTGAATTTATCGATTTTTGATTGGCTTTATCGATCATTGATATTTTAAAAATTATCAATTCTCTTGTGCTAAGAACCTATCTCTTACAATGAATAATGTAAGTGCCAAGTTTGGTCAAAATCAGTTGGATGGATCTCGAGTGAAAAAGTATCAAACAGAGAGACATCCTCTGTTTTATATATATGGATTACAACTCGTTTTATTCCATCTTATTATCAACAGACTTTTCATTATTACTATTATTACTAGTTTTATTCCATCTTATTACAGTTGTTTTTTATGTCAACACTTTTGTTTAATACACTCTTCTTTATTCTTCGTTTAATCATTTCACTCCAATCAAGGAGGGAATGCCACTAGAGAGAAAAGACTGATTATAGGAAGAATTGAGGAAAGGACAAAAGATGAAAAGGATTCAAGAAGATAGAAGATGGCACTTGACATTGCATTTAAAGATTTGAAGATTGTAATTATCAGGGAAGCAAGTAAATAGAAGAGAGTCTCACAGGTGGGAAGTATGAGAAAAGAAACTGTTGGAGTAGAAGTGTCGGTTGCATTTAACTATTTCAACAGTAAACGTGTGGGACCTAGATGCCAATCTAGTAGCAGGCTTAAATTCATGTAATCAGGGCAAAAAAACTCATTAGAGCATTTGTCATGAAAATATTTGTAGAAAAGACAAAGGGAACCACAACACATTTGTGAGAAAGTGGCTGAAGTCGAGATGCCATGTCAGGATCGATTACATTGCAGATCCTTCTTTGAATTTTGTCAAGAACCTTGAGATGAATAGCAGGGGCACCAGACCAGATATGAGAACAGTATTCAATACACAGTTGAATGGCAGGTTTGTAAATATGCAAAATGGATTCTGACAAGAAAAATTTTCTGGCATATCACAGTGACCCAACTTTCCTTGCAATAGATGCAGCAATTGATCTGATGTCGTTGCTCCACTTCAAGTCAGTTGAAAATGTGAAGACTGCTATCTTATTACTAGTCTTATTCCATCTGGCTTTTTATCACAACTGTATGGCTTCATATACACTTCATTATGACTATTGTTTTCTTATTGATTTTACTCCATCCCATAATTATTTCTTTTTTATCACATTTGCATAATATACCACCAGTATGTAGAAGTTTGATTTTGTACATCTGGATGCAATGGTGTAGATCAATATATTGAATTAACTGTGCTATCTAAAGAATGAAAAAGAAAATTCAGATTATTTTCAAATTAATAATAATTGTTGTGTCTGCACTTATGCTGAACTGAGGGAGGAAAAAAAAAAAAAAAGAGATTATTAAAGGGAGATAACTACTGAATACTAACTATAGAATTAGTCAGTTAAGTGCCATAGGTGATACAATATTTGGACGATCATGTATCTTTCGATACATGACTAATGAAGCAGATTTTTTTCCCGCAGTAAGTTGCCATTTCATTCTGCAATAAACTGGTTACCAAGCTAAAGAACCCATTCTGTCCTACTATTCAACCCATGGGGGGGGGAGATGGATTCATACCTTTCCCAAGGGTATTTGTGCATAGGTGAATCTAACAAACTCGAACTATAGAGTACTATCAATTATTTGTTTTTTTATTTGCATATAATTAAAAAAAAAACTCTACATGTATATAGCTGGCCACTCGTGTTTGAGGATACCCATCTACTAGGGCAGCTAGCCAATCCCTGTTGCAGACGCTTGCTCAGAAACATTTGTGTTTATTCAACACCCACGGAGCCCACCTGTGGTTTATATTGCAACTATGCTGAGTAGACTTTAGTTACAGTTTCTTGGAAAGAATGTGTTACCTAGTGTGATCAACAATTTGAACAAGGCCAACGCACTCAAGCCCTCAGCCATGATGACTTGTGACTTTGTGCTAGCACAGCTATCAACAGCCCTCAAAAGTTCTGTCTACCCAATTTCTCTCACAAGGCTTGGGTCAACCCATGGTATGGTTTTCAGGCACTTTTCAATGGTGCCGCATGTTGGGATCAAACCTACCTACTGTAATGGCTTGTATTGGTGCAAAAAAATGATGGAAATATGAGGAGAGGATGACAACAAGACACAACTGCAACAAGATAGCGAAGAGATGCATGATTGTGATGAAACCTGGACTGAAATTGAAAAAGCTATTGAAAAGGTTGTCAGTTTTATGGAAAGGCAGCCAGCATTCAGCTATGATGATTGCAATAACACATGCAGAGTTAAAAAGTGTCTTTCATTTAAAAAATTTCAAAAACAAAAGCCAAAGGAAATGCGGAAAAAGTTGAGAATGACATTAGAAGAGAAAGAATCATCATGCAACAGCGATTAAAAAAGTCCTCATTACATTATTTGTTTTACATACATGGCAAACTTAATTTAATGAATTTTCATTAACATTACATAATTTATTTCTTTTTCCTTAAAATCAATTCCGTTATGTTTCACTCACCATCAGCTTATTTTGTTTACTATAAAACAATGAAAATAGATGTTAAACCCAATTTCAGTTCATTTATTTTAATCTAAATATAAGCCCTCATATTCGGACATTGTAACCAATTCCTCATATCCTGAAGGTCTTCTTAGTCCAGTTTTCAAGGATTCTACTATAGTTCAAAATCTAATAACTTTGAACATCCTCAATCTCTTAAAAAGATATTAAAGATCACTCAAAATCAAGAAAAAGGCAAAAGGATTTTCATAAACAAAATTACAAATGCAAGGCAGGAGTGCCACTAGCACACAAGAGGTTACAGAGAGTGAAGGTAAGAGTAATGAAGGGTGCTTGAAGAAAAGATAAAGAGAAGGACAGGGATCAAGATCAAGGCATCAGAAGATGTCGATTGACATTACATTTAAATATTTGAAGACTATATTTACCAGGGAAGCATGTAAGACAAAGGGAGTTCAACTGTTGGGAAGTGTGAGAGAAGAGTAGAAGTGGTTACATTCAACTTTTTCAACAGTGAAAGGGTATCAGGGAAAAATGCTTGTTAGACCAGTTGCCATGAAAATACTTATAGAAAAGACAGAGGGAAGCCACATCCCATCTCTGAGAAAGTGACTGGAGTTGAGATGCCAGATCAGGACCTATCACACTGCATATCCATTTTTGGATTTTGTCAAGAACCTCAAGACTTTTTCAACAGTGAAAGGGTATCAGGGAAAAATGCTTGTTAGACCAGTTGCCATGAAAATACTCATAGAAAAGACAGAGGGAAGCCACATCCCATCTCTGAGAAAGTGACTGGAGTCGAGATACCAGGTCAGGACCTATCACACTGCATATCCATTTTTGGATTTTGTCAAGAACCTCAAGACTTTTTCAATAGTGAAAGGGTATCAGGGAAAAAAGCTTGTTAGACCAGTTGCCATGAAAATACTTATAGAAAAGACAGAGGGCAGCCACATCCCATCTCTGAGAAAGTGACTGGAGTCGAGATGCCAGGTCAGGACCTATCACATTGCATATCCATTTTTGGATTTTGTCAAGAACCTCAAGATAAACAGCAGGGACCAAACCATATATGGCAACAGTATTTAATGCAAGGACAAATGGTAGATTTGAAGGATGGACTCAGATGAGAAAAACCTTCTGGTGTGACACAGAGAACCAATTTTCTTTACGGTAGATGAAGCTATTGATTCAATGTAGTTGTTCACCTCAGGTCAGTGGAAAAAGGCGGCGCAGAGAGACGCTCTTGTGAAGTTGAGAATCAGCCATGCTGATAGGAGGCAGGGTGGTTTCTCTATGGCGGGTAAATGTGAGCAGTTTCGTTTTGGAAGCATTAAAGTTTACAAGCAATTTCCAGCCCCAGTCAACCACAGATTGGAGGTCCTTTTCAAAACCAACGACCAGCTTAACTTTGTCGGCAATACCAGAGTTACTATTGAGACAGGAGTAAATGGTAGTGTCATCTGCGTAGATGCCTACTTGAGAACTGATGACAGGAAGATTGTTGATGAAGATCAGAAACAGTATAGGACCCAGGATAGAGCCTTGTGGAACACCAGCATTCATATGAAAGAAACTGGAGGAGAATCCATTTCACAGTTTGACAGGAATGATTGGATTAAATCAAATAATCATCCTGTAATACCGTATTCCTGAAGGCCACCATGTCAAACCCTATCAAACATCTTAGAGATATCTAGAGCCACAGCTCAAGCTTTGCCATTATTATCAAGAGCTTGGTATACAAATTCAGTAATGACCATAAGCATGTCAGTAGTGGACTTGGCAAAATGGAAACCATATTGTTTGTCAGAGAGGAATTATAAAAGGCAAAATCATTCTCGATAATCTCGTAAACTAGAAAACAGTTCTTACAAAAAAATATATATTTCAGTGTAAGGAACAAATCAAACAAAAAGATGGAAATTATCAATTACTTACGCCAACTGGAAAAGGTATTGCACAACAATACATGGCTCAAATGTTTGCATTGTATCTCGCAGCACTTCATCGTATCTATGAGGAGGAAGGGAAAAGAGTGAGAGAAAAAATATCAGCACTAATTCTACAGATCTCCATGGCAGAGTTCTTAGGACACTTGGAAACACTGGGTACTGTTAGCAACATTTAAATAACCCACAAAGGGTTGATAAACCATTAAAAATACAAAATAAATCTTTATATAACACAATATATATAATAATACAAAAGGATAAGATGAAAGTTAAATTTTTTTTTTCATTATGTTAACTCTAATGCCTTTCAAACCACAATGTGAAAACAGTCTCTTATCTGTGGTAGCCGATCTGTGATAATTAAAATTCGGAATTCAACAAAATTGGATCCACCATTTTTATTATATTGAGGATGGCAAAAAAAAATTCCTTCTGCATTATTTAAAATTATTGTGCTTTCATAGACATAACATGTTATAAATTCTAGTTTCTTACATATATATATATAAAAAAGAGTCGATAGAGTTGATTATTATATATATATATATATATATATATATAAATATAAATAAGAGTCGATAGAGTTTATTATATATATATATATATAAAAGAGTCGATAGAGTTGATTATTATATATATATATATTATAGACAAAAGTAACAGTATGGATTGAATAGAAAAATAATTCTCTTTACCTGCAAATATGGAGAACCAACTTAAAAGCATCCTGTTCTTGTAAGAGACTATAATCAACTTGGTTGGATAATTGGGTACCACATGTTAGTTGAAGACTGCAAAATAAGTACAATAAACACAGTGACCACAAAAGGAACCACCATCAGCTCATATGATGTTCTAAGAAGCAATCCAGGTATTCTCCATTTTTTTAAGTTAATTTTATCCAACTAGGACAGAATCTAAGGTTGTCATTAAAAGGGACATCTCATCATGGAAATTACAAATTGGAGACCCCAAAATCAAGCAAGTACAACAATCTAAATGTCTAAGAAGTGTTTTAACAGAGGACGGAAAATGCAGCACCAAAATCAGAAGGTGCATTGTGATAGTGAAAATTACCTTTTGAAAGCACAGGAAAGTATTAAGAAACAGGAAAATTTTGTTAGAAACTAGGAAAAGAATACTGAATTGTTATGCAATATCAGTCCTCCTCCTATATGGCAGTGGATTCTGGACAATCTCCTCACAGATAAAGAAGTGACTTGAGGAAACAGAGATGTGATTCTACAGAAAGATATTGAGAATACCACTTCACTTGATCAAAGCCATATTTAACCATTGATTTTAGAAAGCAGTTGTATACATCTGGCAGTTTAGATATTTCCGAACAAATTTAGCACCATACATGACATCCATATGAAAGTCTCAATCTGATAATTTTATTTAAGAATATGACGAGTTTTCAGGTTAATATTTTGGTTTTGTAGCATCTTGTGGTATTGTGCAAAACTACCCCTAGTGCAGCCAATTCTATGTCCAATTTCCTCATCTCCTATACTAAATTTATTATAACTGATCTACACACCAAAGTATTTGAAGTGTTTAGTATTTACTAATTCCACATCCTGAACTTTTATGATGGATTTAGTGCTTTCATTCCAATTCCAGATCATAGTTTCTATTTTGGAAAGGTTTATCTTGAGTACTATTTCTTGGACCACTTGGTAGAGGATATTGATTAGTATACATAATTTAACTTATATAAAGAAATATGGACATGCTTATAGTATAAGACTGTAATCAACTTGGTTGGATAATTGGGTACCACATGTTAGTTGAAGACTGAAAAATAAGTACAATAAATATAATAATAATAATATAATTAAGCATTCACATTGTAGTGAATGAAATTAAGAGATTATACATATGCCGAACATGCCTACACCCACAATTTGTATGATTTACACACAGAGAGAAAGAACCTTGAATGTTACTAGTTTTGTTCATAGCAAAGTAGTCTCTTTCAGTCAACATGTAAAAGAACTTTTCAGAGTTTGCAAATGCCCCAAACTTTTTTCAATGTATTAAATAAGTGCTACTTTTGCTTTATGCCTTTATTATTCTTCTATATCCCTTCAGGACATTGGCGATTATGGCTCTCCACAATTTTTTATCCTTTGTAACTCTTAATAAATGTTGTCTTTTTGTTATCTCTCCTAAACCCTGTTCTGCCATCCATTTACTGATGTTCACTAGGCTGTCATATAGCATTGAAACACTGCTTCCCATACAGCCACTGAAGTTAAGCAATGTCGAACCTGGTCAGTAACTAGATGAGTGACTGCTTGGGAATACCAGGTGCTGTAAACATGGATGTTGTCTTTTGGTTATCTCTCCTAAACCCTGTTCTGCCATCCATTTACTGATTCTCACTAGGCTTACTGTCATGTAGCATTGAAAAGTGAGATTGGCAGGATGAGTTTAAATTCCAGATGAATTTCTTGCATTCACTTTCGCATGGGAAAAGTATAATTCCATTTCTTCCCCCAACCAGGAGTTAAATAGTAGTTCAGACTGGGTTCAGTAGTCTTGGTTGGCAACCAGACTAGGAGAAGGGTAACACAGAATCCAAAACCAGTCGGTTGTAGAGCTAGCAAAAGCACTCCTGTAAAGCCTAATTGTTTTAAAAATCCTAGCAGCAACATTAACAGGTGATACTTACACTCTACGTTTCATATGAACTGAGAAAGATTTATCTCTTTCGTCATGTTCGTACTTGTTTCCACTTATTGAAAGAATTCTGAAGGGTTTTTTTTTTTTTTCACTTTTACAAAAATAATGGCAAAAACCAAAAATAGCGTTCAACATTTATTTCGCCGCCAGCCATCACTGAAGCAGCATGCACTGTGAACAGTGAGAGCAGCAAACTCCTTCCCAACGAACTACACTCACAATCAAACCGCCATAGCTTTGAACTCTGTGAACATCTGGGATTTGTCATGATTAATTGTGTGCATCCTTATCAGAAAAAAAGAAAGCAACTTACATTGAGGGCAAAACTGGATATAATTAAGCATTCACATTGTAGTGAATGAAATTAAGAGATTATACATATGCCGAACATGCCTGCACCCACAATTTGTATGATTTACACACAGAGAGAAAGAACCTTGAATGTTACTAAAGTTAAGACTAGTTTTGTTCATAGCAAAATAGTCTCTTTCAGTCAACATGTAAAAGAACTTTTCAGAGTTTGCAAATGCCCCAAACTTTTTTCATTGTATTAAATAAGTGCTACTTTTGCTTTATGCCTTTATTATTCTTCAGGGCGTTGGCGATCATGGCTCTCCACAATTTCTTATCCTTTGTAACTCTTAATAAATGTTGTCTTTTTGTTATCTCTCCTAAACCCTGTTCTGCCATCCATTTACTGATGTTCACTAGGCTGTCATATAGCATTGAAACACTGCTTCCCATACAGCCACTGAAGTTAAGCAATGTCGAACCTGGTCAGTAACTAGATGAGTGACTGCTTGGGAATACCAGGTGCTGTAAACATGGATGTTGTCTTTTGGTTATCTCTCCTAAACCCTGTTCTGCCATCCATTTACTGATGCTCACTAGACTTAGTGTCATATAGCATTGAAACACTGGTTCCCATACAGCCACCAAAGTTAAGCAACATCAAGCCTGGTCAGTGCCTAGATGTGTAACCACTTGAGAATACCAGGTGCTGTAAGCTTGGATGTGTGGGTGATGGTATTGTTAATCGGAGATCCAAGTTCCAATTTGACTTGCTTCGTTAAATTCACAAATGCACAAATATCCTTGGGAAAGGTATGAATCCACATCTTCTTCCCTCCAGCTATGGGTTAATTAGTAAGACTTGTATCACTAAAACATTATTATCTAAAAAAAAAGAATTCTAAAAATATTTTCTGGTTTTAAATAACCTGCAAAGGGTTGATAAGTCGTAGAAAATAAATCCCTCACTCATGCTAACTAGGTATGTTATGAGTTGTTTTCTTCACTGCCTCTTGCCTTCAATCTGTCCTGTGAGTATCAAATTCTCTAAGCCCTCTTTCATCATTATGTGCTGTAGAAAATTTTAATTCTCTCTCTCTGATGTTAAGTATAAGTGGCCTTTTTTTTTCCATTTTCTCAAAAACTTTGTTGTTGCTTATATGTTCAGTCCATGGTATTCTCAGTATCCTTCTGTAGAACCATATCTCTGTTGCTTCAAGTCTCTTCTTCATCTGTATGGAGATTGCCCAGCATTCACTGCCAAATAAGAGGACTGATATTATGTAACATTTTAGTACTTTTTTCTTTGTTTCTAATAAAATGTTCCTTTTTCTAAATACTTTGCTTGGCTTTTGGAAGGCATCTTTCGCTATCCTAATGCACCTTCAAATTTCAGTGTCACACTTTCTGTCCTCTGTTAAAACACTTCTCAAATATCTAATTTGCTGTATTTGTTTGAATTTGGCATCTCCAATTTGTAATTTGCATGTTGAGCTGCTTCTTTTGCTAACAACCACTGTAGGTTTTCCGTGCAAAGTTGTGCAGAGTGAGATGGAAGCAAAAGTGCAGTAATGTGCAGTATGTGATGCTAACCATTAATAACCAACTTTTTCTGCTACCATTCTCAAAAATAAGAATATCAAGAACACATACAACAGTTCAATTTTCCAAAACAAATTACAACTAATCAAATTTAATCTACAATGGTCAATGAAAAATAAATAAACTAATTTAATTTTTAAAAAAGTTGTCAGAATTCCGATTGTTTTCGGGGGTGGTTTTTCTTGCTTTGTTTTACTTTTATAAAGTAAGATTATGTTGGAAATCCTCTTTTAAGGAAGATTATGTTGGAAATCGTCATTCAAGGAAGATTATGTTGGAAATCGTCATTCAAGGAAGATTATGTGAGAAATCTACTTTTAAGGAACATTATGTTCAAAATTCTTAAGGAAGATTATGTTAGAAAATCTGCAAAATGGACTTTTAACAATCTTCCTTAAATATGTTAGAAATCATCTTTTAAGGAAGATTATGTTAGAAATCCTCTTTTCAGGAAGATTATGTTGGAAATCCTCTTTTCAGGAAGATTATGTTAGAAATTCTTTGAGTTCTGTATTAATTTTGGTAGACTTTGTCCATTTATGGGTCTCTACTATTAAATCTGTTTTAATTACTGAAAAACTGGCCTTACTTTTTGACTGACTCTCATACCAAGATTGGGAATGGAAGACATGATGTTATGGAGTAGATTTGGAATTATGAGACTTTTGTGTTTATTTTGGTATACTTTGTCGGCTTCTATTACTAAATCTGTTTAAATTAAAGAATAAATGGCATCACTTTTTGACTGACTTTCACAGTTTACTTCATTTTTTCATGCAAAAAAAAAAAAAAAAACGCAAAAAACAATTTAGTTGAATGATTTTATGAGTATAAATTCCAAGAACAAACCTGTTGAGTCTGGCATGTGCATATTGCAAAAAGACACCAGAATCGGCTTTGAAATTCAAACACTTCTCCCAATTAAATTTGTAGTCGCGATTTCGTCGTTCTTTCAGGTCCTGAACCAAAATGGAACTGATACCAAGGATATCAGCCACGGCATCTTCATCATGAACATCTTTTGTTGCTGGAAAGAATTTTTACAAATCTTCAAATATATATATATATATATATATATATATATATATATATATATATCACTCACTCAATTCTACTTTAAAGAAACAAAGGAACACTAATTCCTCCAAAGTTAACAATGAAAAAGTTTGTTCTACCCTAAGGACATGCCCTCTGTTTAGAGTCATTCACAATAATACCATCATTTGAAAGTATTACAAACCCTATTTATTAAATCTGAACAGCCTTCTCTATGGAAACAGAATGAATGGCTATTATCCCCATCTTTGTTGTTGTTATCAATATTTTGGCTGTTGCACTATCTAGCCTTTATCTGGTGTTTGTCGACATGAGTAACATCCAGTAAAGTTCAAACTGAACCCTTTATTTAATCTACAGGGGTAGATCATTCTCATTCTATTGCTCTTACTGAGCCCAAGGCTGTACTGCCTGACCCAGGGATTAAATTCACAATTACTATGTTCCCAAATTCACAAATGAACACTAACCCACTAGGCGACTGTCTCGTGGGACAATCCTGAGTGTAGAGCTTGGAGCCTTAAACAATCTACCTTTCAAAGAGACTGCTGCTGCTGAAGCTTTGCTGTCATATCTCTTTCTTTAGGCCCAAATGTTATTAGTCCTGGGTATGACGATAAACTACATTCGGTAGCAAGGCCTCTGATCAGGAAACTGACAGTTTTGAGGAGTGTGGAACAACCTCTTAATTGCTGTTGTTCCCAGGTCCACTGTGACTCAAAGTGGTAGCACCTGTGAGGGTCCCAGCTATAGGCAAATAAAGAAACTCTCCAAAAAACACTATGATAGTATAAAAAACATTTTTACAGTAAAAATACCAGCAATACATTTTTTATATAAAAAATTACCAACATTACATATTTATAGTAAAATGACCAACAATACATTTTATCTGTAGTTGAAGGCATACAATTGTGTTCAAAATATATTTACTTGAACCCATAAAATGCCATTCAAAATATTTGGACCCTGGGTTGATATGCCACTAACCAAACAACCAACATGAAAGAACTCTTTCATGACATTAATCCATATAATATATTACAATTTCTTAAAGAAATCAAACTGTATTCAAAAATATAACTTAAACAAAATGAAAACATAAAACACAGACATCACTGCCTCTAGTATCATTTCCACACATGTATATGTCCAAAAGCTGAGTATTATCTACCATGTATTCAATTGTGAAAGCAGAATAACATATTTTTTATTACTGCAAACCTAACAAGAAAATTACATTTTATCATTAAATGACCCATGAAGGAGTTGATATGCCATTAAATAAATCAATCAACCAAAATGTTATGATAATAACAAAGATGAAGACAATTTAGTGTGGAGTTTAATAAAGAATGTTTTTTTGATATTAAATAACACAGCAAGCTTTAATATGTCATAAAATCCATGAACCCAACCCAAGGAAAACATAATAACAATAGATAAGTAGAGTGATCAAGTTATGCTGAAAATATCAGTTGTCATCTGATCTGTGAAGTTAAGTAGTGCCAAACCTGGTTAGTACTTGGATGGGTGACTGCTTAAACATATACTATAAGCAGCTTTTTGTTAAGGAGTAAAAAAAACAAAATAATTCCACTTACTTCTGGTTTCTCTTCTCTTCTGTAACATAATGCTCTGAGCTTCATCCAGAATATCTTTCATGAAAACAACCTCACCTTTCCTGGTGCTCATACCCAGAACACGGCCAAAACCAATATGGAAGTGGGGACCAGTTCTGTAAACAAAAGAAGTTCAAAAATTAAAAAAAAAAAAAAAAATGAAGAAAAAAGAAGCTTAAAAAACACAAACAAAAATAATAAAGAAAAACTTGAAATTAAATAAATTGATAATCAACATGAAAGAACTCTTGCAGGTGAAGTAACGGTAAATGATTTGGAACAAGAAATCAGCAAGCCAAGTTTGAATTCCAATAGAGTTCATGCAATTCCCTTTTTCTCAAATACTCCTGGCTTATGTCAGAGGATATCCCCTAGACATGGCTATGCCCAAAGCGCAGAGTCTCATCTCAGGAAACTGACTCTGTTTTTACGTGGTCTATAGGGAATTTTTGCCCGAGCCTACGGGCTCAGATACCCCACTTTAAACTCGGCCTTGTGCCACATCTTGCTGCGTGGGGCAGCGGGTAAATAATAATACTCTTGGAAAAGATATGAATCTATTTCTTCTGCCCCAGCTATGGTTTAAATAATAGGGGATACTGGGGTCTCTTGATGTAGTTAGCAGCCAGACCCAAAGAAGATTTCAAGACTGGTATGTAGTGTTAGCAACACATCCTATACTGCCATTGAAAAGATTGGAATTAACAATTAACTGCAGTGCAGAGTTTGTGAACTCCATGATCACAACTAAAATTGAATTTAAAAAGGGTTTAAATAGTAGGGTAGACTTTTGCAGGTGTATATTATGGACAAGAGGGCATCCTGGGTAAGACGATAAACTATGCCTGACAGCAAGGCCTCTGATCAGGAGATTTTGAGGAGCACCTCTTAATTGCTGGTGTTGCCAGGTCCACCCTGACCCAAGGTAGTAGCACCCGTTAGGGTCCTAGTTATGAGCAAATAGTTGACCCCCACCCCCAAACAGGGGTCAAAACACTATGATAGTGTAAAAATAGTTTTAATACCAGCAATACTTTTTTGTAAAAAATTATTACTAGCAACGAATTATTGAAGGAAAAAATTATTTTCAACAATACATTTAAAAAAAAAAAAAAAAAAAAAGATTACCAACAATAAATTTTTTGAAAAAAAATATTACCAGCAATAAATTTTTTGGAAAAAATTATTACCACCAATAAATTTTTGAAGAAAAATTATTACGAGCAATACATTATTACTAGCAAGACATTTTTGAAGAAAAAAATATTGCCAGCAATACATTTTTGAAAGAAAAAAAATATTACCAGCAATACATTTTTTAAAAAAAAATATTACCAACAATAAATTTTTGGAAAAAAAAAAAATTACCAACAATAAATCTTTTGTAAAAAATTATTACCCGCAATACATTTTAAAAAAAAAAAAATATTTTCAACAATACATTTAAAAAAAAAAAAAAAAAAAAAAAAATATACCAACAATAAATCTTTTGTAAAAAATTATTACCAGCAATACATTTTTGAAGAAAAAAAAATATTACCAGCAATACATTTTTGGGAAAAATTATCACCAGCAATAAAAATCCTGTCAGCATTAAATAACCCATTCAAATTGATATGCCATAAAACAAACCAAACTAAACAGACAGACAGACAGAGAAGAGGTAAATCTCATGAAGGTGGGCTGAAAAGTACTTTGGCTGACTATGAAGGAGTTAATGAAAGAGCTGTGAAATCTTGCATTTATTAATTTCTTATTATTAATAACTGCATTCTTTCTTTCTAGGTAAATTGACACCTGACTGTTCAAAGAAGACCTAAAATATAACTAGTAGCGACTTCTCTTAAAAATGGACGAAAATTGACATTGTGGTGCTACCCACTACCTACAGAAAAAGGTTTTAGCCCTCAAGGACATTTATGCTGACATTGGTACTATATTAATGTTTTCCTTAGTGATGTCAATTGCAGGTTTCCAGACCTTGGGTCATCTTCAAGACTCTTCCTTCCCCTCTTAAATTCAGCTGCCCACTTTTGCACTGTTGATAAAGCTGGAGCATGATCCCTTAATAAGGTACCAATGTCAGCATTTCAAGAGAAGTCGCTACTAGTTACATTCTGCAGAGAAGGTGATTGCCTCAGTTTTTGAGGGATGCAAAAGGCATTGTGTTTATTGACTATCTTCCAAAGGGCCACACCATCAATGGAGAGTACTATGCTAACTTGCAGAGGCAGTTATGAAAGGCTATCAAGACCAAATACCCAAGAAAACTGAGGAAAGGAGTCTTGTTTCATCAGGACAATTCTCCAGCACCCAAGTCCTTGGTTTCAATGATTACTGCATGTGACTGTGGCTATTCTCCTGATTTGGCCCCCATCTATCATCTATTCCCCAACATAAAAAAACTTTGCTGGGAACCAGTATCACAGTGATGATGACGTCATATCTGCTGTTGATAACTTTTTTGACTAACAGAATGAAATCTTCTTCACTGATGGGATCCAAGCACTGCAACACCAATGGTAGAAATGTACAGACAACAAAAGAGACCATATTGAAAAATAGATCTCATTTGGTTACATTCCATGAGAATATTTTGGTCAGCCTATGAACATTTTAGCCGACCCTCATAATTAAGAAAATCATTATATTATCCTGGGTTATTTTAGGTCTCCTTGCCAATACCACAAAGGAAACAAAAGAGCTACACATAAAGCCAATCTCACCTTAAAACCCAGCTTTCTTTCATTTTGGCCAATACAGCTTTGAGATTAGCAAAATGAATTTTCTGCCCATTGTCAACCTGAAACAAGAAACAAACCCTCTGTATATCAAACTGATTACTTATGTCAAAACTGCTTATTATTACCAATGAAAAAAATCATAAATATATTAAAATTTTTATGAAACAATTTTTTTATTCTTTTATAAAATAAAGGAATTTTTCTCAAGAAGTAATGGATTTATATTTATTAATCCGACAGATTTTATCACTTTAAATGTTATTTTTAGTGGATACTCATATTTAAGTAGACGCTTTTAAGTAGAGAAATTTTATTAAAGAGAAATATGCACTCCCCTGAATAAATGAAAAGACTTTAACAGGAAGCAGAAACACAATCCTAAACAAGAAATAAGGGATAAACTGGGGAGGAGTGTGAACCGGATGAATAATTTATTTAATTACTTACCACATAGTGAATTTTATGGAAATTGTATTTTTCTTTCCTGTCTTTGGCTGCACACAAATCACTAGAATAAAAAATAAATAAATGAAACTTCTGAATGGATTATTTCATTCGTTAAGTGGAAAGAATTCTATATAACATCTTTTGTCCCCTAAAACTGTGCTACTTAAAGTGAGGTATGTGTACCAATGTTAGTAAATGAGCCATCATCTGCTGGCACAAAGTGAGTTTCCAACAAACAAAGAACCAATAGCTATATTCCATTCCACGTGATACTGGCGGGGTATCTGACTATTTTTTTTTGCTTTTTTTAAAATTTTCATTTTAGTTTTATATTTAGTATAGTCCAATTGTTCTCTCATGTTAAAAGTCATTGATGTAATGAATGTGATGTAATGAATGTAATGGATGTGTTGTAATGAATGAGATGTAACGAATCTGTTGTAATGAATGTGTTGTAATAAATGAGATATAATGAATGTGTTGTAATAAATGTGTTGTAATGAATGAAATGTAATGAATATGTTGTAATGTATGAGATGTAATGAATGAGTTGTAATGAATGTGTTGTAATGAATGAGATGTAATGAATATGTTGTAATGTATGAGATGTAAAGAATGTGTTGTAATGAATGTGTTGTAATAAATGAGATGTAATGAATGTGTTGTAATGAATGGGATGTAATGAATGTGTTGTAATGAATGGGATGTAATGAATGTGTTGTAAATGAATGTAAAAATGAGGATGTAATGAATGTGTTGTAATAAATGGGATGTAATGAATGTTGTAATAAATGAATGGGATGTAATGAATGTTTGTAATGAATGGGATGTAATGAATGTGTTGTAATAAATGAGATGTAATGAATGTGTTGTAATGAATGGGATGTAATGAATGTGTTGTAATGAATGGGATGTAATGAATGTTGTAATAAATGGATGTAATGAATGTGTTGTAATGAATGGGATGTAATGAATGTGTTGTAATAAATGATGTAATGAATGTGTTGTAATGAATGGGATGTAATGAATGTGTTGTAATGAATGAGATGTAATGAATGTGAATTGTAATAAATGAGATGTAATGAATGGGATAAATGTTGTAATGAATGGGATGTAATGAATGTGTTGTAATAAATGAGAATGTAATGAATGTGTTGTAATAAATGAGGATGTAATGAATGTGTTGTAATAAATGGGATGTAATGAATGTGTTGTAATGAATGGGAATGAATGTGTGAATGAATGTGATGTAATGAATAATGTAAATGGATGTAATGAATGTGATGTTGTAAATGAATGGGATGTAATGAATGTGTTGTAATAAATGAGATGTAATGAATGTGTTGTAATGAATGGGATGTAATGAATGTGTTGTAATAAATGAGATGTAATGAATGTGTTGTAATAAATGAGATGTAATGAATGTTTGTAAATGAATGGGAATGTAAATGAATGTGTTGTAATGAATGGGATGTAATGAATGGGATGTAATAAATGTGTTGTAAATGAATGGGATGTAATGAATGTGATGTAAATGAATGGATGTAATGAATGTAATGTGTTGTAATAAATGAGATGTAATGAATGTGTTGTAATAAATGAGATGTAATGAATGTGTTGTAAATGAATGGGATGTAATGAATGTGTTGTAATAAATGGGATGTAATGAATGTGTTGTAATGAATGGGATGTAATGAATGTGTTGTAATGAATGGATGTAATGAATGTGTTGTAATGAATGGGATGTAATGAATGTGTTGTAATGGTGAGAAATGGGAATGTAAATGAATGTGTTGTAATGAATGGGATGTAATGAATGTGTTGTAATGAATGAGATGTAATGAATGTTGTTGTAATGGATGAATGAATGTTTGTAATGAGATGTAATGAATGTTTGTAATAAATGGAATGAATGAGATGTAATGAATGTGTTGTAATGAATGAGATGTAATGAAATGTGTTGTAATGAATGGGATGTAATGAATGTGTTGTAATGAATGAGATGTAATGAATGGGATGTAATGAATGTTGTAATGAATGGGATGTAATGAATGTGTTGTAATGAATGGGATGTAATGAATGTGTTGTAATAAATGAGATGTAATGAATGTGTTGTAATGAATGGGATGTAATGAATGTGTTGTAATGAATGGGATGTAATGAATGTGTTGTAATGAATGGGATGTAATGAATGTGTTGTAATAAATGAGATGTAATGTAATGAATGTGTTGTAATAAATGAGATGTAATGAATGTGTTGTAATGAATGGATGTAATGAATGTGTTGTAATAAATGAGATGTAATGAATGTGTTTTAATGAATGGGATGTAATGAATGTGTTGTAATGAATGGGATGTAATGAATGTGTTGTAATAAATGAGATGTAATGAATGTGTTGTAATGAATGAGATGTAATGAATGTGTTGTAATGAATGGGATGTAATGAATGTGTTGTAATGAATATGTTGTAATGTATGAGATGTAAAGAATGTGTTGTAATAAATGTGTTGTATTGAATGAGATGTAATGAATGTGTTGTAATAAATGTGATGTAATGAATGTGTTGTAATGAATGGGATGTAATGAATGGGATGTAATGAATGTGTTGTAATGAATGGGATGTAATGAATGTGTTGTAATAAATGAGATGTAATGAATGTGTTGTAATGAATGGGATGTAATGAATGTGTTGTAATGAATGGGATGTAATGAATGTGTTGTAATGAATGGGATGTAATGAATGTGTTGTAATGTATGGAATGAATGAATGTTAAATGAATGTGTTGTAATGAATGAGATGTAATGAATATGTTGTAATGAATGTAAAGATGTAAATGAATGTGTTGTAATAAATGAGATGTAATGAATGTGTTGTAATAAATGAGATGTAATGAATGTGTTGTAAATGAATGGATGTAATGAATGTGTTTGTAATGAATGGGATGTAATGAATGTGTTGTAATAAATGAGATGTAATGAATGTGTTGTAATGAATGAGATGTAATGAATGTGTTTGTAATAAATGATGTAATGAATGTGTTGTAAATGAATGGGATGTAATGAATGTGTTGTAAATGTAATGAATGTGTGTAATGAATGTGATGTAATGAATGAATGGGATGTAATAAATGTGTTTGTAATGAATGGGATGTAATGAATGTGTTGTAATGAATGGGATGTAATGAATGTGTTGTAATGAATGGGATGTAATGAATGTGATGTAATGAATGTGTTGTAATGAATGGGATGTAATGAATGTGTTGTAATGAATGTGTTGTAATGAATGGGATGTAATGAATGTGTTGTAATGAATGTGTTGTAATGAATGTGTTGTAGGGATGTAATGAATGAGAATGTAATTGTAATGTGTTTGTAATAAATGGGATGTAATGATGTGTTGTAATAAATGAGATGTAATGAATGTGTTGTAATGAATGGGATGTAATGAATGTGTTGTAAAATGAATGTAATATATGTGTTGTAATAAATGAGATGTAATGAATGTGTTTGTGAATGATGTGGGGTAATGAATGGATGTAAATGAATGGGAAATGAATGTTGTAATGAATGTGTTGTAATAAATGGGATGTAATGAATGTGTTGTAATAAATGAGATGTAATGAATGTGTTGTAATAAATGGGATGTAATGAATGTGTTTGTAATGAATGGGATGTAATGAATGTGTAATAAATGGGATGTAATAGATGTGTTGTAATAAATGAGATGTAATGAATGTGTTTGTAATGAATGGGATGTAATGAATGTGTTGTAATAATAGGATGTAATGAATGTGTTGTAATCGTGAATGGATGTAATGAATGTGTTGTAATGAATGAGATGTAATGAATGTGTTGTAATGAATGGGATGTAATGAATGTGAATTATAATGAATGGGATGTAATGAATGTGTTGTAATAAATGAATAATGATGTAATGAATGTGTTGTAATGAATGGGATGTAATGAATGTGTTGTAATGAATGGGATGTAATGAATGTGTTGTAATGAAATGAATGATGTAATAAATGTGTTGTAATGAATTTGTAATGAATGTGATGTAATGAATGGGATGTAATGAATATGTTGTAAATGTATGTGTTGTAATGAATGAAATGAATGGATGTAATGAATGTGTTGTAATAAATGAGATGTAATGAATGTGTTGTAATAAATGAATGTAATGAATGTGTTGTAATGAATGGGATGTAATGAATGTGTTGTAAATGAATGAGATGATAATGAATGAGTTGTAATGAATGTGTTGTAATAAATGAGATGTAATGAATATGTTGTAATGAATGAGATGTAATGAATGTGTTTGTAATGAATGGGATGTAAATGTGATGTAATGAATGTGTTGTAATGTATGAGATGTAATAGATGTGTTGTAATGAATAGGATGTAATAGATGGGTTGTAATGAATGAGATGTAAAAATGAATGTATTTGTAATAAATGAGGGATGTAATGAATGTGTTAATAATAAATGAGATGTAATGAATGGGTTGTAATGAATGTAATAATATGTTGTAATGAGGATGTAATGAAATGTGTTGTAATGAATGAGATGTAATGAATGTGTTGTAATAAATGTGTTGTAATGAATGAGATTAATGAATGTGTTGTAATAAATGTGTTGATTGAATAATGAATGTTGTAATATAATGATGTAATGAATGTGTTATAATAAATGAGATGTAATGAATGTGTTGTAATGAATGAGATGTAAATGAATGTGTTGTAATGAATGAGGATGTAATGAATGTGTTGTAATGGAAATGAGTTATAATAGATGTAATGAATGTGGGATGTAATGAATGGGATGTAAAATGAATGTGTTGTAATGAATGGGATGTAATGAATGTGTTGTAATGAATGAGATGTAATGAATATGTTGTAAATGAATGTGATGTAATGAATGTGATGTAATGAATGTGTTTGTAATGAATGGATGTAATGAATGTGTTGTAATAATGTGTTGAATGAATGAGATGTAATAGATGTGTTGTAATGAATGGATGTAATGAATGTGTTGTAAATGAATGGATGTAATGAATGTTATGTTGTAATGAATGTTTTGTAGATGGGATGAATAAAATGAATGGGATGAAATAAATGTGTTGTAATGTATGAGATGTAATGAATGTGTTTGTAATAAATGGGATGTAATGAATGATGTAATGATATGTGTTGTAATGAATGTGGATGTAATGAATGTGTTGTAATGAATGAGATGTAATAGATGTGTTGTAATGAATGTG